CAAACTTATCTTGGCAGATACTACCCCCACCCGCCCACCCCTTCATTTCTTAAAGGCTATGTCATCTGCCAAAATCAGTTTTAGATCTTAGAAGGTATCTCATTTCCCAAAATCAGTCTTATCTTGGCAGATACTAGCCCCGCCCGCCCACCCTTTCTTTTCTTAAAGGCTATGTCATCTGCCAAAATCAGTTTAATCTTAGAAGGTATATGATTTGCCAAAATCAGTTTTATCTTGGCAGATACTAGCCCCGCCCGCCCACCCTTTCTTTTGTTAAAGGCTATGTCATCTGACAAAATCAGTTTTATCTTAGAAGATATCTCATTTGCCAAAATCAGTCTTATCTTGGCAGATACCTGCTCCCCCCGCCCACACTTTCTTTTCTTAAAGGCTATGTCATCTGCCAAAATCAGTTTTATCTTAGGAGGTATCTCATTTGCCAAAATCAGTCTTATTTTGGCAGATACTAGCCCCGCCCGTCCACCCTTTCTTTTCTTAAAGGCTATGTCATCTGCCAAAATCAGTTTAATCTTAGAAGGTATCTCATTTGCCAAAATCAGTCTTATCTTGGAAGATACTAGCCCCGCCCACCCACCCTCTCTTTTCTTATAGGGTATGTCATTTGCAAAAATCAGTTTTATCTTAGTTACTACTAGCCCCGCCCACCCACCCTCTCTTTTTTGCAAAGTTAGTCATCACTATTTGTTATCTTAAAACTGATTTTGGTAAATAAGATACCCCTTAAGAAAAGAAAGGGGGGGTGGGTGGGGCTAGTACTTGCTAAGATAAAACTGATTTTGACAAATAGCATACGCTCTAAAAGAAGAGAGGGTGGGTGGGCGGGGCTAGTACTTGCTAAGACAGGACTAATTTTGGCAAATGAGATACCCTCTAAGAAAAGAGAGGGCGAGTGGGTGGGGCTATTCGCCGTCGTCTACTTGAAAAATGTCTTTGTTTTTCGTTAATTCCCTTAACTTGTCCATTAAAGACGATTTGACTTTGAGCATTTTTAAAAATGGCACAAAATGTTAGATGATAGGTAAATAATTTTTAAAACACTTTTACATTTTTGAACTTCACTTTCTGAAAACCAAACTAATTATCAACTTGTAAAAGGGGTCTGTTAATGGGTGTTTCAATAAGTTTAAAACCTACCTATATGCTCGTAGTTAGCTGGGCAATAAAATTTGTTCTTTGATGGTTTACGCAGAAAAATAGATTTGGATTTTGAACTGGCTTGGATAATCTTTCTTTATAGTACCGGAAATCCTTGTTAAATGTGCTTAGGGGTATAGAAAATTCAAATTTTACAACAAAATACACAGAAAAAAGTAAACTAAGTTGAAAAAATGCAAAAAAGACACTCATGATAAGAAATAGGACAATAGGCAAAAACAAATAAGTAACATTTTAACAATCAACTGGTGAGTCTGGGAAAAATAGTAAAAAAATCGTTCTCACATTTTGGCGGAGCTAGAATGGTTTTAAAATTGGTTGTTTTGCTACATTTAACAACTAAACAAAACATCCATTATCACAATAACTAATAATAAAACTTTTAGTAAATATTTCTCTCGCCCATGACCATGTTTAATTACGATACCCTATAGGGCAAAGGTACAAATCAGCAAAAATCAGCCTTATCCTAGCAAGTACTAGCCCCGCCCACCCACCGTTTCTTTTCTTAGAGAGTAACTCATTAGTGAAAATCAGTCTTATCTTAGCAGCTAGTATCCCCACCCATCCATCATCTTTTTTTTGTGTAAAAGTTAGTCATCAGTACTTGCTAAGATAAAACTGATTTTGGCAAATGAGATCCCCCCCAAGAAAAGAGAGGGCGAGTGGGCGGGACTAGTACCTGCTAAATCAGTTTTATCTTAGAAGGTATCTCATTTGTCAAAACAAGTCTTATCTTGGCAGCTACTATCCCCCCACCCCCCACCCCTCTTTACTTAGAAGGTATGTAATTTGCCAAAGTCAGTTTTATTTTAGAAGGTATCTCATTTGCCAAAATCAATCTTATCTTGGCAGATATTAGCCCTGCCCGCCCACCCTTTCTTTTCTTAAAGGCTATGTCATCTGCCAAAATCAGTTTTATCTTAGAAAGTACATCTCATTTGCCAAAATCAGTATTATCTTGGCAGATACCTGCCCCGCCCGCCCACCCTTTCTTTTTTTAAAGGCTGTGTCATCTGCCAAAATCAGTTTTATCTTAGAAGGTATCGCATTTGCCAAAATCAATCTTACCTTGGCAGATACTAGCCCCGCCCGCCCACACTTTCTTTTCTTATAAGCTATATCATCCGCCTAAATCAGTTTTATCTTAGAAGGCATCTCATTTCCCAAAACCAATTTTATCTTGGCAGATACTAGCCCCGTCCGCCCACCCTTTCTTTTCTTAAAGGCTATGTCATCTGCCAAAATCAGTTCTATCTTAGGGGGTATCTCATGTGCCAAAATCAGTCTTATCATGGCAAATACTAGCCCCACCCGCCCACCCTTTCTTTTCTTAAAGGCTATGTCATCTGCGAAAATCAGTTTTATCTTAGAAGGTATATCATTTGCCAAAATCACTCTTATCTTGTCAGCTAGTATCAACACCCACCCACCCTTTCTTTTCTTAGGGGGTATCTAATTTGCCAAAGTCAGTTTTATCTTAGAACCCTAGAAGGTATCTCATTTGCCAAAATTAATCTTATCTTGGCAGATACCTGCCCCGCCCGCCCACCCTTTCATTTTTTACAAGCTATGCCATCTGCCAAAATCAGTTTTATCTTAGAAGGTATATAATTTGCCAAAATCAGTCTTATCTTGGCAGGTACTAGCCCCGCCCGCCCACCCTTTCTTTTCTTAGAGGGTATGTCATTTGCCCAAATCAGTTTTATCTTAGTAGCTAGTAGCCCCGCCCACCCACCCTATCTTTTTTGCAAAAGTTAGTCATCAGTATTTGTTGTGTTAAAGCTGATTTTGGTAAATGAGATAAATAGTCGAAAAATTTCCTAATTTTTTTAAAAATTAAGCTTTTGGAAAGTTGCCCAAAAATACACAGCAAATTTTAGAAGATTGACCTCAAAGTACTGATTCGAAAAATATACAATGTTTATGATTTCTTGAGGAAGGTTTTCGAATTATTCGTTTTGACAGTCAAATTTTTTAATAATCTAAAAATTGCCATTTTACAATCGCCGCCCCGAAAAAAACTGGAATTCTTGAGGGAATGAAACCGACATAACTACCAAAGCCCGAAATTACAAAAAAATATTTGCCCAAAAAGTCTCAAAAAATTCTGGGATAATTATGTTTCTGCGAAAAAGTTTTCGAAATATTCGTCTTGAATGTCAATTTGTCTTCAAATCTTAAAAATTTGACACATTTCAGTTGGCGATTCTGAAAAGACTGTAAGAAACTTACTTCTAAAAAATATTTTTTATAGCTACATATTTTTATCTGATATTTGAAAGTAGTCGAAAAATGGTAAAAAATTTCATGATTCAGTATATAATACTAAAAAATTGAGCTTTCGCAAAATTTGCCTAAAAATCCGCTAAAAACTGAAACTTTAATCGCGACGTGCTGATTCGAAAAATCTAGCATATTTAGAGTTCCGAAGGAAGTTTTCGAAATATTTGGTTTGAATCAAAAATTTTTCAAAAATTATTAAAATTATCATATCTTTCAGTTGGGAATTTTGTTCAAACTGTGGGAATTTTCGAAGAAATGAAGCCGAAAATAACTTCTAGAAGCAGAAAACTACAAAAAATATTTGTACCTAATTTTTGAAGTCGGTTGAAAAATTGTCCAAAAATTTCAAAAGCCGAGCTTCCGGAAAAACTCCTAATAATCCACAAAAAATTCAAGGCATACTGATTCGAAAAAAAAGCGTGTTTAAGATCCTCGAGCAAAGTTTTCGAAATATTCAGTTCGGAAGTCATTTTTTTTTTATTCTAAAAATTGCCATATTTTAATTGAAGATTATGGAAGTAAGATTTTCAAAAAAATGGATCTTGGCAAATAATATACGCTCTAAGAGAAGATCGGATATGTCATCTGCCAAAATTAGTTTTATCTTAGAAGGTATCTCATTTGCTAGAATCAGAAGAAGCAAGAAACACCTTATATATCAACTTAAAACTATTTTCAAAAGGAACTGTGTCATCTTTCTCTTTTTATTGAAGTTTTAACTCCCTTCTTTTCGTATTATAGAACACGTATACGACGTGCGCCGGAATAGGATGTCGAATTCGACACCGACACCGACACCGACACTGACACCGGTCTGAACTGAGTCTGAACATAGCCATGTATTGCCGCGCTATATTATAATAATTAGATATTTCTATATGATAAATAAATAAAAAAAGTATATTTTATAATAAACAACAATTGACAGTTCATGGATATTTATATACTTTAATTAACCCAATGATTATCATTAATCATCATTTTGTCGAAAAATACAAATGCAAAATTAATGACTTCACCGCGTATACGTCTTTAATTTATATAAACTAACAAAGCAGAGTTAAAATTTTATCCGTACGTCCCTGGGTCGAAGCAATCTTTTTTTTATTACTATTTATACCTAATTTCAAGTGATTTTGTACAATTTGTTGTCAAGATATTTAACCGTTTCCGTACATACAAGCAAAATAAAAAAGTATCCGATCTTTAGTAGTTATTAGTACAGCAATTAAAATTTCCCTCGAATAATCGCCCTTAATTTGTCGTTGTCCCGTACTCCCATTCCACATAGCGCATCCCATACCTGACGAATGTCCCACATCCATCCCGCCGCTATCAGACCTTTTATCAACATAACTTTGGCATTTTTCACTCACGGCCCGACGAGAACAACACTAGTCTCTCTAATTAGTACGACGGAGAAAATCCGATGATTTGTGGACACGAGATCCGAAATGAATTTTCCCACATTTTACTCCCAGCATTCTTGTGCCGGAATGCCAGTAAAACAGTGTGTCGAATCGTTTTTTTGCTTGCAGCGCCGTACTGGGGAAATACTCGGCCCACCAGAAGCAGCCGCTGATGAGGGCGGATTTTCACGCGGAGACCACGCTGTGCCAGACCACGCCGGGCCTGCGCCGCCCCCAGGTGGAGTTGTGCCGGCGGCTGCCGGACGTGACGGGGGCGGCGCTGCAGGGGCTGCAAGTGGCGGTGAAGGAGTGCCAGCACCAGTTCCGCCACCACAGGTGGAACTGCTCGTCGCTGGCCACGAGGGCGAAGAATCCGTACACGAGCGCCATCTTTCAGAAAGGTGAGTGAGGGTAGAAGATGAACTAGTAATTCAAATCGTATAACAATTTTCGGGACAAATTTTTTAGTGCCCACTTTTTTGGTTCTATTAGATACCTAGAAAAAATGTTTTTTATCTGCTAATTTATTTGAAAATATAACATTTTTCATAAAGTTCTAAGTATATTTTATTGTTCAATAATTCTATATATTTTTTATTGAATCAAAACAACATCGTAGAACAGAATTTAAAATTTATGTTGGAAATTACAAAACCGATTTTATTTTTGACATGCTAAGTTTGATTTATGAGGGAAATCGATCCTATTTAAAATTATACAAAATATCATGCTTCTGTACATGTGGATTATGAATCTGTACTTATTTTTAACTTTTGACAGGTACATTTTTAGACAAAAAAAAACAAAAATTGTGAAATACAATTTTACAATTTATCTTGAAAATTACAAAATCGATTTTTATTCTTGACAGCTTAAATACATTATAAGAGAAAAATGTGTGTTCTCTAAAGACAACCTAATTTATTTCTGAAACAAACATTCATATTTTTCAAAAATTTATACCTATCTTGGATTTTTTCTCAAAAATAATTTTTAAAAATCTTGTGCATGTAAGAAAAAATTAAAATGCGCCGCATTGTTTACCGTAAGTGGGTTGGAACAATTCAACAAAATTTTTCAATTTCTAAAATTTAAGTGAAACTTTTGCGATCGTCAATATTTCGACCAAATCGTGACAACATCGTTTTAAAAAATTTCGCTGAGTAAATCATATTTAAAATAATACAAAATATTATACTTCTGTATTTGTGTATTATTAATCCGTTCTTATTTTTAGCTTTTGACACGTCGATTTTTGGACAAAAAAATCAAAATTGTGGAATAAAATTTTTACATTTATAATGAAAATTAAAAAATCGATGCTCGTCATGACAGACTGAGTCCATTATAAGAGAAAAATTTGTTCTCTAAACACAATCTAATTTATTTCAGAAACAAACATTCATATTTTCAAAAACTTAATATTTATCTTAGGTTTTTTTCCAAAAATAATTTACAAAATCTTGTGCCTATAAGAGAAAAATAAAAATAGGTCGTATTTTTTACCATAAATAGGTTTTTGGAAAAAACATAACAAAATTTTACAATTTCCAAAGTTCAACTGAAAGTTTATACATGAGGTTTTTTCCAAAAAACCATAAATAAAAAATTTTCTCTATAAAAGAAAAACTAGAAATAGGTCCTTTTTAGACTAAGCAGGTTTTTGGTAAAAATACAACAAAGTTTTACAATTCCCAAAATTCATCCGAAATTTTGCAATCGTGAATATTTTCGCAAATCGTGATCACATCATTTAAAAATTTTCAAGAGTAAACCCAATTCAAAATTATATATTAACCTTCTGTATTTGGGGATTATTAATCCGTTATTATTTTCAACTTTCGACACGTAGATTTTTGGAGTAAAAAATCAAAATTTTGGAACAGGAATTTACAATTTATCTTGAAACTTACAAAGCCGATTTTTATGCTTGACAAGTTAAGCCCTTTGTAAGGGAAATAATGTGTTCTTGAAAGGCAGCCTAATTGATTTCTGAAATAAAGATCCATATTTTTCAAAAATTTAGAAATGTTTTTTTCCAAAAGTAATTAAAAAATTATTATGTCTATAAGATAATAGGTGATATTTTTCACCGTGAGTAGGTTTTTGGGAAAAACACAACCAAGTTTCACATTTTCCAAAATTCGACTGAAATGTTGCTGTCATGAATATTTTCGCCAAATCGTGATGACATAATTTCAAAATTTTGCTGAGTAAATCCTATTTAAAATAATACAAGAGATTATACTTCTGTATTTGTCTATTATTAATCCGTTCTTATTTTTAACTTTTGACTCGTCGATTTTTGGATAAAAAAATCAAAATTGTGGAATAAAATTTTAAAATTTATAATGAAAATTAAAAAATCGATTGCTCTTCAAGACAGACTGAGTTCATTATAAGAGGAAAATTTGTTCTCTGAACACAATCTAATTTATTTCAGAAACAAACATTCATATTTTCGAAAATTTATACCTGTCTTAGGTTTATTCCAAAAATAATTAAAAAAATCTTGTGGCTAAGTAAAAATAATAATAGGTCGCTTTTTTACCGTAAGTAGGTTTTTGGGAAAAATACAACAAAATTTGATAAGTTCCAAAGTTCAACTGAAATTTTGCAATCATGAATATTTTTGCCAAATCGTGATGACATCATTTCAAAATTTTGCTGAGCAAATATTATTTAAAATTATACAAAATATTATGCTTCTGTATTTGTGGATTATTAATCCGTTCTTATTTTTATCTTTCGACACGCAGATTTTTAGACAAGAAAGATCAAATTTGTGGAATATAATTTTCTAATTTATCTCGAAAATTACTAAATCGATCTTTATTCTTGTCCATCTAAGTCCATTATCAAGGGAAAATGTGCATTCTCTAAACACAACTTAATTTATTTCTGAAACAAACATTCATATTTTTTGAAAATTTATACCTGTCTTAGGATTATTCCAAAAATAATTTAAAAAATCTTCTGCCTAAGAAAAAATAATAATAGGTCGTTTTTTTACCGTAAGTCGGTTTTTGGGAAAAATACAACAAAATTTTATAAGTTCCAAAATTCAACTGAAATTTTGCAATCATGAATATTTTTGCCAAATCGCGATGACATCATTTCAAAATTTTGCTGAGCATATATTATTTAAAATTAGACAAAATATTTTGCTTCTGTATTAATCCGTTCTTATTTTCATCTTTCGGGACGTACCTAGATTTTTAGACAAGAAAAATCAAATTTGTGGATTATAATTTTCTAATTTATCTCGAAAATTACTAAATCGATCTTTATTCTTGTCAATCTAAGTCCATTATCAAGGGAAAATGTGCATTCTCTAAACACAACCCAATTTATTTCCGAAACAAACATTCATATTTTTCGAAAATTTATACCTGTCTTAGAATTATTCCAAAAATAATTTCAAAAATCTTCTGCCTAAGAAAAAATAATAATAGGTCGTTTTTTCTACCGTTAGTAAGTTTTTGGGAAAAATACAACAAAATTTTATAAATTCCAAAGTTCAACTGAAATTTAGCAATCATGAATATTTTTGCCAAATCGCGATGACATCATTTCAAAATTTTGCTGAGCAAATATTATTTAAAATTATACAAAATATTATCCTTCCCTATTTGTGGATTATTAATCTGTTCTTATTTTTATCTTTCGAGACGTAGATATTTAGACAAAAAAAATCAAAGTTGTGGAATATAATTGTCTAATTTATCTCGAAAATTACTAAATCGATCTTTATTCTTGACAATCTAAGTCCATTATCAGGGAAAAATGTGCATTCTTTAAACACAACCTAATTTATTTCTGAAACAAACATTCATATTTTTCGAAAATTTTTACCTATCTTAGGTTTATTTCAAAAATACTTAAAAAAATCTTGTAGCTAAGTAAAAATAATAATAGGTTGTTTTTTTTACCGTAAGTAGGTTGTTGGGAAAAATACAACAAAATTTAATAAGTTCCAAAGTTCAACTGAAATTTTGAAATCATGAATATTTTTGCCAAATTGCGATGATATCATTTCAAAATTTTGCTGAGCAAATATTATTTAAAATTATACAAAATATTATCCTTCTCTATTTGTGGATTATTAATCCGTTCTTATTTTCATCTTTCGAGACGTTGATATTTAGACAAGAAAAATCAAATTTGTGGAATATAATTTTCTAATTTATCTCGAAAATTACTAAATCGATCTTTATTTTTGACAATCTAAGTCCATTACCACGAGAAAATGTGCATTCTCTAAACGCAACCTAATTTATTTCTGAAACAAACATTCACATTTTTCGAAAATTTGTACCTGTCTTAGGTTTATTCCAAAAATCATCAAAAAAATCTTCTGCCTAAGAAAAACTAATAATATGTCGTTTTTTTTACCGTAAGTAGGTTTTTGGGAAAAATACAACAAAATTTTATAAGTTCCAAAATTCAACTGAAATTTTGCAATCATGAATGTTTCTGCCAAATCGTGATGACATCATTTCAAAAACAAATATTATTTAAAATTATACAAAATATTATGCTTCTGTATTTGTGGATTATTAATCCGTTCCTATCTTTCGGGATGTAGATTTTTAGACAACAAAAAATCAAAGTTGTGGAATATAATTTTACAATTTGTTTTCAAAATTACCAAATCTACTTTTATTCTTGACAGGACAAGTCCACTATAATTAAAATAACTTGTTACCTAAACACAGCTTTTTTTATTTGAAACAAAAATCTCTATTTATATTTTAGGTCCCAAAAAATAAATGAAAATATCTGTCGTTTATTATAAAAAAAAAATAATAATAATTTTGATGTCATGACTTTTCGATGTTGTTGCCGCCGGGTGTATAGGCAACCAATAATTCAAATAGTATTGTCGATTCGATACCAACCTATCCCCAAAAAGGGAAAAACCACTGATTTATCGAACCTAGTTTGACGTACAATTTTTTGATCCACCTTGTATTTGCCCCCACTAAAAAAGTGATGACATCACATATTTGTTTCAGAATTAAATTTAATAATCCACCACACGAACATGAGTTATATACTTTACCGAAATATAAATAAATAAATTATTAAATATTAGTATAATTCAGGTTTAGATTGACATTAGTGACAGACTGCGAGTAACTTGATCTAAAATGTTTTATAATCATCATATTATTATCTATTAATTTTAAAATACTTTAAATTCCTTGTGACCCTAACTGCTCCTTCAAGAATTCCTTTAACTGTCTTCTGCCACATCCCCGTCCAACCCCAAACATAGATATCACCTAGCTCCAAGCTCACCATCACAAAGGTACAAAAACCCCATTGTGCCCCACAATAGCTATCATAATCGTGCGTAGCATCCACTTCCTGACAAGAGCCACCCTAATAACGTCAT